CTGTACTAACGTGCTTGGCTGCTTGTTGTTTACTTGGTCTCACGGCCTTCCTGAGGCTCCATATGATTCTGTTGCAAAATACGTTTTTGGTTAGGCTAGTGATTTGTTCGAGAAATAGTTAGAAATATTGACATTCACTTACTAATGACCTATTCCCATGTGTACCTCAGTACTTTTGTCACGAATCATGCGTGCGAAAAGTCATTGTGCTCGGTGTGCAACAAGCAGCAAAGTCTAGTTATAATGTTGGGGTCAGGTGTCAATTGGGACGCAAGTCCTGTTCCTTTCCCCAGTCACACTTATGTCCTCTGTTTATTGTAGATGTATGCGTAATGATTGTGTTGTGACAAATGATTAAATTAGATTAAATTAAATTAAATATCGCGGGCGTGGGTGACCAACGATGGGTGGTCATCCCATAGAGATTATAAATAACACTAGAGGAGGCATCGAGTTTAAAAATTGGGAACGCAGCTAATGGGGGGGCAAATTCAAGTCCCGGATATAAAATCATACTCTCATTGGCTGATTTGAAACTCGTCACCAATTGGAACACGAATACATATCCGGGACTTGAATTTGCCCCCCAATAGTCGCGTTCCCTTTTTTTTACTGAATTAAGATTACAATGCCTCCTCTAGTGTTATTTACTAGAAAATACATGCATGCAGAAACCCTCGCCTTGCTGACAAAACCGTTGTATTTTCCGAACATGAAGTATCTAAAGTAGTTGTCATGGTAACACGATAATTTTTTAAGAATATTCTTACAAATGAAAATCGCCTAAAAATATCACTTTTAATTACAAAATTATCAATTTCCCAACATATTTATGTTAGGTATGTAATTATACGTAATACAAGCTTCAATTTAAGGTAAAATTCAACCACAAACAATTCACAAAACGTTTTAAAGTGTTCTTTATAAAACTAAACTGCCTTTAACTATTAAATGGCTTTATCGATAAACTTTGAGTTTGCAATAAAATGATTTCAAATTCTCGCTTGCAAATCAACTTTGCTTTATTTTTTATTTAAAAAATTCAATATAATAAAAAAGGGAATCAGTATTAAAGATACACTGAAATTATATGCTGTCTTGTTTAGTTGTTTCAGCATATACGCAAAGGCCGTCGGGTTTTAAAGCCATTATAAAATCAATATTTAAAACAAACTTACCTTCGTTAACGTCGGCTCCCTTCTTTTAGCTGATTCTTTCGCCCTTTCTTCTTGAAATTTACAAAATCTTGCAGAAATACCAGCAAAAATGAAGAATATTTGCAAGAAATTTATCAATCATCAACTCATCAAATCAAGAAATGTTTGCTATTTCGCTGTCGTCATACAGCCGTTATAATGCAAACTTTAAATTGGACCAATCAGTGTCCGTTATTCATGACAGTCCGCCATATTTTTGAGATCAGCGAGGATGACCACCCATCGTTGGTGACCGACGCCCGCGCTCATTGATGAACTTTAGACTTCGCTAATGCTTTCGTTTCCCCGGGTGTAAATAGCCGGGGGGAATTAGTACCCTCGCACGGCGCTTCGCGCCACCGGCTCG